GGTGAAAGTGGGGTGTTAAAGTCCCCTACTATGAATGTGTTACTGTTGATTTCCCCTCTTATGGCTGTTAGTATTTGCTTTATGTATTGAGGTGCTCCTATGTTGGGTGCATAAATATTTACAATTGTTATATCTTCTTCTTGGATCGATCTCTCTATCATTATGTAGTCTTCTTCTTTGTGTTTTCTAATAGTCTTTATTTTAAAGTCTGTTTTGTCTGATATGAGAATTGCTACTCCAGCTTTCTTTTGGTTTCCATTTGCATGGAATATCTTTTTCCATCCCCTTCCTTTCAGTCTGTATGTGTCTCTAGGTCTGAAGTGGGTCTCTTGTAGACAGCATATATATGGGTCTTGTTTTTGTATCCATTCAGCCAATCTGTGTCTTTTGGTGGGAGCGTTTAGGCCATTTACATTTAAGGTAATTATTGATATGTATGTTCCTATTCCCATTTTCTTAATTGTTTTTGGATTGTTATTGTAGGTCTTTTCCTTCTCTTGTGTTTCTTGCCTAGAGAAGTTCCTTTAGCATTTGTTGTAAAGCTTGTTTGGTGGTGCTGAACTCTCTTGGCTTTTACTTATCTCTAAAGGTTTTAATTTCTCCATCAAATCTGAATGAGATCCTTACTGGGTAGAGTAATCTTGGTTGCAGGTTTTTCTCCTTCATCACGTTAAATATGTCCTGCTAGTCCCTTCTGGCTTGCAGAGTTTCTGCTGAAAGATCAGCTGTTAACCTTATGGGGATTCCCTGTGTGTTGTTGTTTTTCCCTTGCTGCTTTTAATATGTTTTCTTTGTATTTAATTTTTGACAGTTTGATTAATATGTGTCTTGGCATATTTCTCCTTGGATTTATCCTGTATGGGACTCTCTGTGCTTCCTGGACTTGTTTAACTATTTCTGCCTTGATTTTTAAAAATCTTTTTATTATGCAAAGTCTCAAATACATACAAAAATAGAATGGTGTGTATCCATAATCCAGCTTTTATATTTACTGACTCCTGGCCAGTCTTAGTTCATTTATATCTTCCTTTGCATCCCCATTTCCACCCCTAGGTCATACAAAACATATTCCAGGTCCAAATCATAAGTGTTTCTATATATCTCTAAAAAATAAGGACTCTTAAGAGTTAAGTAAAAAACCCCCAAACCCCCCCAAGCTCATGGAACAGATTGGTGGTTGCCAGAGCCAGGGGTTGAGGATTGTAAGAGAAATAGGTGAAGGGAGTCAAAAGGTTACAGACTTCAGCTATGAAATATATGTCATGGGGATGAAATGTACAGCATGGTGACAATAATTAATAATTGTGAATTGCATTTTTTTTTTTGAAATTTGCAACAGAGTAGATCATAAAAGTCCTCATCACAAGGGAAGAAAAGTTGTAGCTATTTATGGTGATGGATGGTAACTGGACATTGTGGTGATCATTCTGCAATGTATACAAATATCTCATCATGTTTTATGCATCTGAAACGAATATGCCATTCTATACCTCAATTAAAAAAAAGTTAAGCATAATTTCAATACTATTTTTATTATGCCTAAACCCCCCCAATAATTCCTTACTATTTTTATAATGTACAGTGAGTGTTTACGTTTTCCTGGTTGTCCTAGACACACACACACACACACACACACACACACACACACACACACACACACACACACACACACACACACACACACACACACACACACACACACACACACACACACACACACACACACACACACACACACACACACACACACACACATTTTGCTTGTTTGCATTGGGATCTAAGTAAGCTCCATACATTATGATTGGTTGACATACCTCTTAAGTTTATTTTAAGTCATTTTCTCCTCCTTCCTTGTAAATTTTTGAGTGAAGAAACTGGGTTTGTGTTCTATAAATTTTTTTCACAGCCTGGATTTTGCTGATTCCAGCTTCATGGCATCATTTAATATTTTCCTGAGAACACATTGTTTCCTTTACATTCACAGGTAAGTGTAGAAGGTTGGTTAGACCCAGAATCAGTGTATTTCACAGAATGCAGTCTATCATAGGGGGTTGTCTTCTTGTGATATTAGCAAGTGTTGGTGAGCATTGCCTAGATCATTAATTCATTAGGGATTACAAAGTGGTATTATTCAACTTTTGTTACTCCTTTGTTTATTAGGTGGAATACTTCTGTAAAAAGAAACTTCCCCACATCAATGAGGAACAGTTCATATAGAAAAGACAGAATAAATGCATGGTTCTTTCTGATTTTCGAATTAAAAATTTTTCGTCTATTTACTGTTTTTTTAAATTGAAATACAGTTGTCCCTTGGGAACTACAGGGGTTTGTTTCCAGGGACACCCCCCGGCCCCCTGCTTGGATACCAAAATCTATGGATCCTTAAGTTCCTTACATAAAATGGCAAAGTATACTTGGCTCTCCGTATTTGCAGATGTGGAACCTGTGGATGCGGATGGCTGACTGTACATTTGATATATAATGTTGTACAGTTTAAGGTGTGTAGCATGTTAATCTGATGCATTTATATATTTTAATATGATGGCATTGTAGTGATAATTAGCACCTCTATCACATTACATGATGATCCCTTCTTTTTAGTGGTTGGGATTGTTAAATCTAGTCTCTTAGCAAGGTTGATGATTATATAATACATTGTTGTTGTCTGTATTCACTCTACTGTGCATTAGATCTCTAGGGATTATTTACTACCCATTCCAGGTTTGTACCCTTAAACAACATCTGTCCTATCCCCCTCTCCCCACCCCCTGGTAACCACAATTTTACTTTCTGTTGTTACAAGTTTGGCTTTTTTAGGTTCCACATATACATGATATCATACGTTACTTGTCTATCTCTGTCTGACTTATCTCACTCAACATAATGTGTTCAAGGTTCATCCATGTTGAATGTTTGATGTTTTCAAAAGAAAAATGGATTATCTATCTTCCTTCAGAGGTTTGACCAATGAGACTTATTGGTATGATTATGAATATTTTCGTATGATTATTGATTCATCATTCAAACATTGGTGTTTTATTCTGTTGCAGTTATTATCTATACTCATGGTCTAATGGTCCCAGTTTTAGCCAGTGGGAGCTTGTTCAAGTTCTTTTGACAAAATCCAAGTTGTAGTTGAGAGCTTCTTTGCTTTCTGGAATGATAAAATGCTCAGATTCGTCTCGTTCATTTCCTGCCCCAGAACTAGAGTCGGCTAAAAAGCTTCACATCCTGTTTCATTGGAAAATGATATTTGGAGGTCACAGACGGCACTGGGGGTGCTCTTTGCAACTGCAGCAGACATTATTCACTGGTCTTTAAAGTGGACAGAGTTAGGAAATTTGTTTGTTTTTAAAGATAAAAATACATCATGAGTTTTGTCCAGTTAAATAGTACTATAGAAATTTTATTTGACCTTAATGAACTTATACCCATGCCAAAAATTCGACTTCTCAGGTGCACCAGCCTAATTCACACTACACACACAGTCTTAAAATAATGGTGCCAGGATTACCACTAGCAAGATGAAGAACAAAAACAGGTTAAGGTTTTTTAAAATAGTATTTTTTTGTTTGTTTTTAAAGGTATATCCCACTAGAAATGGTAAGAGGCTTAAAGCACTTGAGATGGTTTTTCTTCTCTTTGGTTAGGTACTGACTGGATACAATAGTTTATTTACTTCATTTTAGTCGTTTTTTTTTTTAGAGATTGCTTTGTTTAATTTTGTTCATGATTATTTATAATATTTATAGAGTTCCGAAGGCAAAACTGCCATGCCTAGCATGTTCAGAGATATCTGGCTTCTATCCTTGTCTCCCCCATTCTAGTCCCTCTTTTCCTTAGGTAAAAATTACTTTTATATTTAAAAATCTTAATGTTTATCTTTCCTTTATTTTTTAATTTTAAAATATAAGCAGATGTTAACTTTTTTTATTGCCTCCTTGTGCAAGTGGTAGCATGCTGTATGCATTTTTCTATACCTTACTTTTTTCACTTAGTGATGGGAATCAGCTGTGCTGGAGAGCACTCCATAGTAGTTTATAGAGACTGTCCTTTCTTTTTACAACTAAATAGTGGATCTGTAGCATAGTTTATTCAACTAGTCTCCTAGTGATGGACATTTGGATAGTTTCAAATACTTTTATAAATAGTGCTACGGTGAGAATCCTTGAGAATTCCTCTTTGAGATGGATTCCTAAAAGTGTGATTGCTAAAAGTGTAAAGAAATTTCACTACTCAGAAAAAAAGCAGTTCTAATATTTTCAAACTGGGATATAAAACATACTCGTTATGAACACTGTATTATGTAAAATACCCTTTTACAACAGTTTAAATGGGTATGTAGCTTCTATCCTTTTTTTTTTTTTTAAACATTTATTTATGTATTTATTTGGCTGTGCCGGATCTTAGTTACAGCATGAGGGATCTTTTAGTTGCAGCATGTGGAATCTTTTAGATGTGGCATGCAGGCTCTTAGTTGAGGCATGCAAGATCTAATTCCCTCACCAGGGATGGAACACAGCCCGCCTGCATTGAGAGCGTGGAGTCGTAACTGCTGGACCACCAGGGAAGTCCCTGTAGCTTCTATCTTTGGTATATCTAATTTATTTAACTGATTTTCTAATTTGAGACAGTTTAATTTCCACTTTTATACTGCAATAAAGACTGCTTCAGTGACAGTCATTGTTTATATAAAATACATATATGTAATATATGTTCTATGAATATATACATTTTGTTGCTATTATTTTCTTTTAATATTCCTGTGTTCATCCAGGTTGAAATAGCCAATAGAATGATTAATGGTCTGAATCTGACTGGAGATGTGTGAGGGTTCCTGGTTAGGTGGCAGGAGATATAAAATAAAGCATCCCTCCCTGCCTTTTTAACTCCCCCTGCTGCCTCCCACCCTCAGTAACACTGTTTCCTTTTATAATCTGCTGGTATCCCCAACTCTCTTTCTTTGAATCTAATAATATCATTATTATCTTAATTTGCAGATGGATTCTGACTAGGAATTACAAGGCTCTTGCCAAAGGAACAAGAGGCAGCACATCTGGTTTCCTTAATATTGTGATGGAACTGAAAAAGTGCTGCAACCACTGTTATCTCATTAAACCTCCCGAAGAAAATGAAAGGGAAAATGGACAGGAGATTCTTCTGGTGTGTGCTTACCTTGTTTGTAATTGCTTTCTTAAAGACACTTTAGTTTCTATAGATGCTTTTTATCAAAATGCTCCTTTTCCTCCTTGATAATTTCAAGGAGCATCAAAAGAAGCTTTAAAAACACGTGAGAAAAGTCAAATAGCTAGGAAAAAATCTGGAAAGTATATTGTCACAGATACTAGGTAAAGAGCATTTTAGGAATTGCTTGTCAGCTAGATTGCAGAAGGCTTCCAAAAGCTTAAAGATGATTTTAAAAATATGAACTCTTAATAGAGAGGAAGGGCAGATTGAAGTATGCTTTTGAACATGATGATTAGAATGTCTTTTCAATCTTCAGTCCTTGATCAGGAGCAGTGGGAAGCTGATTCTATTAGATAAACTGTTGACAAGACTTCGAGAAAGAGGGAACAGAGTCCTTATCTTCTCTCAGATGGTGAGAATGTTGGATATCCTGGCTGAGTACCTGACTATTAAGCACTATCCTTTCCAGGTGAGGATGCTTGGTACTTGCGGTCTCCCTTCCTCCTTTCCTCCCTCCTTCCCTCTAGGTTGTATGCTTTGCTTGCTAAATTATCCTAAAGGAGAAAACAAGAGTTTTCTTGTTTGAAACAAATTGAGATTAAGGTTCCAGGTGGGTCTTAATTTTTACTTCCATGCCTTTAGGCTACCCTGTAATGAACAAGATCCTGGGAAGATTATTCTTTTTTGGTGGGCGAGAGATGGGGATTAGAGAAAGGAAAATTGGGCAAGAGAAGTGTTGTTAGATGGTATCTTACATCTCTGAGCCTGTGGTAAAAGCCAGGAAGGAAGTGTGAACCTGATGACAGAAGCCCAAATCCTAAGAAAGAAAGAAAAAGAGAGGTGACAGGTGACAGTGTTTTATATTTCACCCCAAAGGAAGCTGACCCTGGCTGTGAGGCTGGGGAACTCAGAACAGCATACTTGAAACCTTGCTCGTCCCTGAATATACTTTGCAGAATTATAATTTTGGGTTTATGTCTTCATTCATTAATCTCTTGTAAGATAAGGAGAAAAATAAGGGGGAAAAAGTTTCTTCAGCATAATATTTTTCTACGTGTTAGACAATGGGAAACTTATCTCTGATTTATTTATAGACGTGTGCAATTTACCTTGACTTTTGGCCTAATGTTTTTATAATGGCTTGATTTTTTTAAAAAATTAATTTTATTTTTGGCTGTGTTGGGTCTTTGTTGCTGCACGTGGGCTTTCTCTAGTTGCAGTGAGCGGGGGCTACTCTTTGTTGCGGTGCATAGGCCTCTCATTGCAGTGGCTTCTCTTGTTGCGGAGCACAGGCTCTAGGTGCACAGGCTTCAGTAGTTGTGGCACGGGCTCAGTAGTTGTAGCCTGCGGGCTCTAGAGTGCAGGCTCAGTAGTTGTGGCGCATGGGGTTAGTTGCTCTGCAGCATGTGGGATCTTCCCAGACCAGGGCTCGAACCCGTGTCCCCTGCGTTGGCAGGTGGATTCTTAACCACTGTGCCACCAGGGAAGCCCTGCCTTGCATTAAATAAATTTTTTCTTTAATTTTGGATGGACTCATGCAGTTATGCTGATACTGAAGATACTTGAAGGCAGTGATTCTCTCTAAGAAGGCCAAGCTTTAAAACTCAGTCACAGGTTTTCTTTCAGCATACCCTGAAAGGCGTTGCTATATCCATAATACTTTGTGTGGTCTTTCAGCAGTTGACTTAGAATATAGTTAAATACCGTGGTTGTTACCAAAAATAGCACAGTACAGAGAGTCAGTGATCTCTCAGTACATATGACCCCTGGGAGCTTTCAGGTCTAGCTCATCATTTGGGTATCAAGTAAAATAAGAATACATTACTTTTCTCTCTAGGGAATGAGTAGTCTGGTGTCCACTCAGGTTATCATGCCTAATGTCTTCTCTTAGAATATTGAAAAGAGGGCATTTGGGTTTTCTCATTTCAAATACTGGTTGTGAACCTGCCATTTAGACTTATCTTTGGGTCAAGGCTCTCAGTAGAGTTGGTAGTCAGAAAGAAGAAAGGGGGTTCCTATGTGTGATTCTACCTGTGATCAGGTGGCTCTGGGTTTGGTAGACAGAGCGCTGAGCTGTAGGTCCTTCCACAGACTCCACCCCTCCCCTGTCACTGATCACTGGTCAGCTGACATCTGCCTGGTCAGTTTTGCCTTCAGTAAAAAAATGAGGTAGTTTATCTCAAGTGGTGATTAAGGGGAAGTAATGTGAAAATGATTTTAAAGAGTGAGAAATGCATTATATATAGCATACAAGTAGTAATTCTTCAGTATTTACATATTATATGGTTTCTCTATGGTGACATTGTTTTGGACCTAGAATTGACATATAGTCTAATTAAGAATTGTATGTGCTAGTAAATGCCAGAGGCTCTCTTGAAGATACATTTTGGCTGTTTGAACACTTTGCTCTGATTTTAGAGTGTAATTTTCAGAAAAGCTGGGATATATGACTCACTTAATTTTAACATTTTCAGTATTATGGGAAAATGTTTTCCAAACAAAATTATGTAAATAATTTTTTGGTTTATGGAGCACTTAATAACAGGGCAACTTTTAGCCATGTAGCTAAGGAGCACCATTTTCCTGCAGGAGCTAATTATGAGGTGACCAGTATTTCCTAATCTCTTTGGTACCCACAGATGTAGAAGCAGACAAAGCCTCTAAGCACAGCTTGGGTTGCCACCTTTCTCCTTTTGTCCTGGTGGCCATCCTGATCCTTGGATAAACCTAGATGGCCCTTAGAATCAGAAGCTTCTGACCTTGAGTTTGTAACCGGAGAGCTTGGGGCAAAGTTGGGTGTGCTGCTGAAGCACAGCCCCTGGACAGCACTTTGCCGGTGTGTTCCGGTTATTTTTACTCAGTGGGTGTTGGAGTGATGAAGGTTACAAGTCTGGTGTTATATTTTGAGTGTAGCTGATCTTCCTACCTTATGATTTTCTTATGGTTTATTTTTACAGCGCCTGGATGGTTCCATCAAGGGAGAAATCCGAAAACAGGCACTGGACCACTTCAATGCAGACGGGTCTGAGGTATAGCATGCATGGCTTTGTTATTTGGGCAGCTTGGGCTCTGTATCAAGGGGAAAGCCTTTCTAGCTTAATGTATTCTGTTTCAGAAACATTTCACAGTGCAACTCTCCTACCTGATAAGGGAAGGAGAAGTCACTAAAGATTCCTCTTAATTTTGTTGTTTGTCAATTCCAGAAAAGAATATGCATGCTTGTTTATCTCCCCTGGTCTGGATTAATGACAGAATAGTTCCGGTATCAACTGAGGGTTCTCTGGTGGCTTTCAGATGCCAAATTTCTGGGCCTAGAAGGACCACAAGGCAAGGGTTGGGGAGGGCTGGCTGGTAGGATTAATTTTGACATGAATGTTACATCAGAAGGTTCTGATCTATACTTTTTTTGGTGACTTGAGTCTTAAAAAGTATGTTTGCTATGTCTCAGATTTGTTGGACCCCGGTAGGATGTGGCTTAATTCCCTTGCTTGGGCTAATAGCAACATTGGTTAATCTGTTAAGTATCCAACTTGAATTTGTCATTATAAAGTATTTTGTTTTTAAGGTACATTTGGAAGAGCACTTAGGACAAGTTAGAAACCATGGTAACCTTGTAATTTGTGCATATCAAAAGGTGGATTCTTAACCACTGTGCCACCAGGGAAGCCCTGCCTTGCATTAAATAAATTTCTTCTTTAATTTTGGATGGACTCATGCAGTTATGCTGATACTGAAGATACTTGAAGGCAGTGATTCTCTCTAAGAAGGCCAAGCTTTAAAAGTCAGTCACAGGTGAGGGATGTGAGAGAAGAGGGGAAAAGAAGTTTAGTGTAAGTAAGGCTATAGTGGTGTGAGGAGTTAAGAAAGCCATGGTGAGGGCCAGAGGTAGAACTAGAAGTGTTTGGGAGAGAACGGTAGAGCTTCTGAAGTCTGGGCCACTATTCTGTATAGATAGACCAGGCTTAACTTTCTACTTTCTCAAGAGCTTTGAACACTCTTAATGTCTGTCTGTCACTCCAGAATGGTATGACTCCTGCCCCTTGAATAGCACATAAGCCTAGTTAGACTATGGTATTCTGGCTATTTCTCCAGCCTAAAATTTTAGTTCTCCTTGAGGAATTTTGGGCACTAATCTCTTCAGAACCAAGGCTCTGAATGGTCAAGGAGAAGAGGGCTGTAATTACTAAAAACATTGATAACCATCTAATTCCATCCTCCTCTCTCTCCTCCCTATTTTCTCAACTGTAAAAGCACCATGATGCCCTACTTCATGATCCTGCTGTGACGACTAAGTGCAATACTCCACACATAGCACTGAGTGCAGGGCCTGGTACATAGCAAGCACCCCATCAGTGTTACCTGTTTCTCTTCTTCAGTATTTGTTGAGATTGGTTTTGTGGTCCCTACTGTTAGTTTAAAACACAGTGTGAGTTGAATGTTCCATATTGCCCTTTCTCAAGAAAAAGCTAAAGTGGCTTTCTTCGTAGTTCTCTGTTGATTCCACTGTCTGATGGCTAGATATAGAATAGAGATTCTTTACCATTTTCTTCAACTCTGAGTTTTTTTTAAATTAATTTTAAAAATTACATTTATTATTGGGGGAAAGTATTATAAACATTTAGAAATTTTGGAAGATGGTGAAGAGTACAAAGAAGAAATACTATACAAAGAAGAAAACTTCCATCCCAGAGAAAGCTTGCTATTCACATTATTTGGGTGCATTTCCATTCATCCTGGAAGAAACCCTTTGTTTCTTCCTATGTTTGCCCAATTGGGATCATGCTGCATATAGTTTTGTGCTCGCCTTTCATTCAAAATTCTACTCTGAGCATTTTCCCGTGTCATTAAAGATTTAAAAAAACTAATTTCTAATATTTTCTCATGCCTGTTCCATCATTTATTTAACCATTTTATTGTTCTCAGATGTTTAGCTAGGATATGAGCATATAAAAAAGATTTTTGATACATTTTGCTAAATCACTC